TAAAGTCTTATATACCATAAATAAAATATATCTTTCTTTAACTATATACTTTCCATGAACTGCCCTTAGTGAAGTAATATTCCACTTCCACACCGCTATAATCTCGCAACGAGCTCTATAGCTGTGTGCTTTGTTACTTGTGCTGTATTAAGAAGGCTACAGTCTACTTGTAACAATGTGAAAAAGGAATAATGGCAAGACAGTTAAAAAGAAGCAAAAATAAAAAAATTAGATATTTGTAAATGTAATTTAATAAGTATAATGTAGAAATAAAAACTTTTATTACCAGAAGCAAACAATATTTTATGGTTTTTAGTTCAATTTACAAAAATGTAAATATAATAGATTACAAAAATATTGACTATTTGTGTTTTCAGTAAATATGTCATACCTGTATCGCACTGCCTTTAGTACCCGGTGTGACCCAATTTTTTACATAGTGAAAAATTAAAGATCACAAGCATTATACAATTATTATTTTCACATATTACATGTAAATAATATTGTACAGTAAAAATTGATCTGCACTATTTGTCACAATGGTACTAAAGGCAATTTCATCTCTTTAATTAACAAAGGTGGTTTGTTCAAATAAGTTGGGTAATCAAATCTGAACACCTGGACAAACTTTTTTCTAAAATAGATTATCTGTTTTGTTTTCATATTATAGTAAAATAAAATATCATTATAACGAATATCCAATTCTTTTAGAGTATTTTTCTTGCAAAGTACGTCCATAACAATTAATACTGATTGTACATATTTGTTTACTGAAAGATGTTTAATAGTATCTTCAACGTTGGTATTCAACCAAATGTACAGTGTTGGTAACGCTAGTCTTTTAAAATTCTAAAACTTTTTGTAATGAGCAATATAAGAAATCAACCTGAACTATTGCTCTAATTCATATAATATAACCAGGTTAAAAATATTTCTGTAAAAATTTTGCAAGATATGGTAAGGCTATCGGAAACATCTTTATAGTAACTTATGAAACTCGATAATACATATACTGACTCTGTATTGCAAATTGTTTAATGAATATATGATAATTTAATAATATGCACATTGCTAAATTATAACTTTTTTGTACATATCCTTATTCGATTTTTTCATCCTTGGATTGTTAGAATAGCAATCTAAAAAGGTTTAAATTTTAATTTGTGTGTAAATTACAATGTAAGTTCTATATATAATAAATACTAACACTTACCAGCTAAAAAAAAACTTATTTATCTTCTGCAATGGATTGTCATTGAATATTGAATCAGACATTGTGATCTTTTTTAAAAAAAACAATTAAAATTAGCCTTAATATAAACAATATATATACATATAACTTATAATTACAAAATTATTATAATCGTCATTATTGTCATCAATGCATTCCATTGTTTCTTCATCTGTAGAATCAATTTTAGTTTTTTTTGTTTTTAGTTTAGCAGCAGTTTCAGCTTCTTTTTCTTCTTTTTGAGCAATTTCTGCGAGCTTTTCTTGAGAGACAGCTTGCTTGGGTTTGTAGGCCTTCTAAAAAATACAAATTTGTGAATTTGTGTAAGACTTTCAGAAAACTTTAGTTTATAATAATTATAAGTATACCATAAAAACATGAACATGTCTTGTAATTGATTTATCAGTGCATTTTATGCAAGAACTGTGAGAGTTTAGTAAGATATCACAAATCGCCATGGTGTATGCACAATGTATAGGTGGAGGACTTTTGTTACGAAATTGTTTGAAAGCTGAAAAACATATAGAGGTGATCAATTTCTCATTTTCAAACAATGAATTATAAGCATTACAAGTTTGTTTTGAGGCCTTCTACTCAGAAAGTTTCACAGCAGAAATATTAGTATCTACTCTTTCAAGCCGTCCTTCAAAGGTGGCAAAAGTTGCATTTTGAATAGTAGCGGCTATATTGTTTCTTTTAATTCTGCATTTACTTTTTACCTAAAAAGTAAAGAGAATAAGATATTTAGTGTTGCTATTGAACATAATTAGACTGACTAATAAACTTTGCTAATTGGATATAAGTTCAAACTAATTTTAAATTACAGTCAGACAATTTACCAAATAAGGAAATCGTATTCTAGAATAATCCATGTGCGGGTTCGTGATTTTGATTGGCTCATACATTTTTTTTTTTACACTTTTACGGTCATACTAGTCTTGGGGTTTTACATATTTTTTATATTTGTACTATACCAACCGATATACGAATAGATAGCATTAGACGTCTAAATTATTTAATCCTACTTAATCCCTTCCAGTAAGCCGGTTTGAAAAAAGTAAATGAGATCTTAAAATTAAGAGTTTTATTCGCTTTTTTAAGTAAGAAAAGTTGA